GATCTTATCCGTACTTGATAAGATTTACTGATATTATCCTAGTAGATCACGACTTATTTGACCTAATTAGGATTACCCTAGTAAAACTCATATCAATGTTTCTAAAATATTTAATTTTAAATAAGAAAAGGTCAGCTGATTTTTACATTACGAAAAATGAAAGATTAGATGTAACCATTTAATTTTGCCCAGCATCTGAACAAAGGAGATTTTACACATTTCGCAGAGAAAATGCAAATTATTTTTAAAAATGATAATGAACCATTAATAATGATGAGCGATAAACCTCATTTTTATTTGATCGTGGTAGAGTCTGTTAATTTTCAGAAATGCCGATATTGGGCAATAGAAGAACCCCGTGAAGTGCATCACTCAGAATGTCACCGCAATAAACCATCTCGAAGTTTGGATCCATTTTTCACCTTTTCATTGTTAAAATCTAAGTTCTTGTCAAATCTTTGTAAGTTAAAGAATAGCTAAATCAGTATAGTGAAGAGCACATTAAGTGCGAAACATTTTGTAATAAAATATCGCTGGAAACGGCAATAAAATGCAGAAACTGTTAAGAAAATTTAGAAATTGTTACAAATCAATAAGTTAATCAATAAAACTACGGCCCATTAATCACCTTAGTTACTTTAGGTAACTACATTTCTGATTCCATATGGAGGAGACAAATGAAAAAAAAACTAGAATTAAGACAATACATACGTACACATAAATAAAAGTTCAAAATTTCCATTAGGCAACTTGGGAACTTACAGGAAATGAAATCCTTTGCTTTTTTAAGACAGAGTTACCTACTTAATGTAAGCGATCTTGAAAACCACCTCATAAATTAACTTGGTACCTCTTTAAAATTAATCGCCAATAAAAAACTATTACAAAATAAATAAAGCATAAAGAGATGTGTACGTCTGACATCTTACTGCACCTCTACATCCAAACACAGCCTTATCTGAATAATTTTCTGTGACCGTCCTTCCGAAAGGTCATTGCATTCAGAATAGGTTCCTAGTTTAGGGACAAGAGTTCGTTTATCCTCAGCAAGTACACCGTTCCTAATTTATGTACCTGGTACAAGTACCATTTATTCTGATTTTTAAACTTTTTGAATTTAAATAAAATCGAACAGATGGCATAAAGAATTCGTTTACCTGTGCCATCCAGCAATAGGCAGGTATACATTATTTCCGCAGATACCCAGTGCAGGTAGTGAATGAGCGTAGATAATACCGGAGATAACTACTGCATGAGGATTTTACAATAGGGATAGGTACCAAAGTAGGTACCTAGTTAGATATGAAAAAATTCAAAAATACATATGTGTAAGCATACACATTTTATTCAAATCCAGTGTACGTATTCCTTTATTATTATTAAGAATAATTCAAAATACCTTAAATAAAATTAAATAAACAGTTTTAATCTTCATCACTCATTTAAATGTCTCAGTCCCTAGGTCTCACAGGATGCTTATAGATGATAGTTTCAACAAAATGCTGTTATCTTACCTTAAACTGAACAGACAGCATTTATTCCAGGTTCTTCTTCTTCACTGATACAAATACAACTTTAATTACAGATACAATTATTCGACAACACGAGTTTTAAATGAAACGATTTGTTTTTGTTTACAATTTTATTTACGCCAAACACTCAATACGCCATCTCGTCTTAAACTGGCTAGTACAGACACAGACAACTGGATATTGTCTGCTTTTCGGGTTTCTGCTCATGTCAATGCGCTGGTTTTGTGCGCTGTGTTCCTTGAGTGAAAGAGAAAGACAGGTATAGTACCTAGTACCCAGCGCAGCTCATCCGATCGATATCTTACGGTTAATATGCAAAAATTAGGAAGCAAGTATCGCAAAATTTAAAACTCAAATTAGCATTATTGTTAGTTCACTAAAACTATTCTACTGTCGATCAATTCTATCTTATAGCTTCTTAAAGTCACATTTAACAATTTTTCGAAAACTACTTCAACGAATTTTTATCAGATACAAAAATATTCTTCTCTCGTGGGGTTGTAAGGATAAAAATGTGTTGTTTCATCCCTATAAACTGTTTGATCATAAGATCGTCAGTCCTAAAACTGGTTGGACACGCATCTCCACATTTGCCTATCCTGAGCTAATCTTCGCATTTCCCTAAAACTAGAATATCCCACATCCTTCCTTAACTATTTGGCATCATTTGCTGCTCCTGTACATTTTTAAAATATTTTTACTGTTCGTATAAGCATAAAAATGAATAATTTTCGTATACATTCATTTTTACTGTAAAAAGCAATCTACTAGTCCCATCATTACTTTCTAGGTTTAACTATCGATAAGTAAAAGCTAAAACCGTTCTTCTTTTTTGCCATACACAATACACCTACGTAAAAGCATAACAATAACTTAATTAAATACTCGTTACCTACAATATGCATGTGCATTATTCTGTAAATATAGTCCCGTTTTGTATTTACTCTAATAAATCAATATAATTTACGACAATTTTGATAAATACCCACACAGACATATAATATTGAAATCAATCTAATGAGTTGTTTTAATGATACTACAAATATGTATAGCAGAACATAGGGATATTCTATTAGATGCAATCATCAAAAAGGAACATCATATTTTAAAAAATGTGACGTAGTATACGGAAATGTGTATAAATACCTCCAGCCATCTTTTCGTAGAGGCAATAAAGTAAAATAAGTAAGACTTAAGTAAACCTCGAGGAGGGCAAATCTTCTAAAGACACCCCCAAAAGGGAGGTAGTGTCGAATTCACTCCTGATGGGAGCGCCTACCGACTAAAAACCCTCCTCGAGTTGCTAGATCAACCTGGCGATTATGACTACCGGGAGAAGTTTGGAGATAAGGAGAGGGTTGACTGGGAGATAGGTAAAGAGGTGAGGGAGGGAGGTTGAATAAGTAAGGCCAGAATTTAAAGCTTTTGAGCAAAGCGCGTAGCTGTGGGGGGGGGGCTTATTAAGTTAAAACCCCACCCTAAATGTGGTGTCATAGGCGAATGATGAGGATATCCTCGATAGAAAAGGGTAGAAATGGGGAGGTATTAGAAAGAATAGGAAAACAGAGGTCACTACGGAAGTCAATCAGGAACAGGCTAGATAAGTTGATAGAGCACTTTACGAAGGACTAGTCAGAGACATATTAGAAGCAGAAACAAGAGTTAAGAGGAGTAGAGGTAGACCTAGAATAGATTAATGTTCACAAATACTCAAGGATGTGGGATGCTCTAGTTTTAGGAAAATGGGAACATAAGCTCAGGATAGAAAAGTGGAAATAAATATCCAACTAGTCTTAGGACTGACGTCCGTATGATGATAAACAGAAAAATAAAAAACCTCAACAGTAAAAAGCTCAGTGATTTCGGCAAAGAGTAGTCATGTTAATTTTGGGATTCTTGCTGTTGTGAGTAGGCTGAGCGGCAATTTATGACGTATCTGAAGCAGTGTTTGTAGGGGAGCTTATTATGTGGCGAAAATACCACTCAATGAAATCAAGCGAAGAAAACTTTCAGAAGGTCAAGACATTAATTGATGTTCTAAGCCACTGCAGTTCTTGTAATTTTCTAACGTTTACAAATATTTGAAGATGTTCCTATAACGGTAGCAACTGGGAAACGTTCTTTCTCGAGCCTTTTAGAAGCACCAAAACCTATTTTCACTTCAGAAGATCGACTGACTGATATGGCGTTAGTAAATGTTCATCGTACAATTAAAGTTGATNCATAGGAAAATGGATTTGGGTCAATTATAATGAAAATATTCTTTGAATAATCCTAATCAGAAGTCTCAATGATCTCCCAGAATGTTACTATCGAACAGATGATACTTGGTACATATATTTGGCAAATCTATGTTAAAAATTAACATTTACATAATTAATTATAACATTTTCAATAATTTACCTAATTTTTCCTTCCTTAGATGAGGAAACTAATTCAGATTTTGATAATATGGTATACTTAAACATAGTCTTATACAAGAGTATACAAATTTAATAAACATCAAAAAAATAAACATCTGAAAAATCTTGCATACTGAACACTGGCTGGTTTAAGTATCATATTAATAACTTGAAATAATTAGACCTACTTTTTATTGTTTATATGTCGTCATTTGTCTCATATGAATCTAAAACTGGCCGTTCAAAATCCATTCCGTCAAACACCAATCTGTAAACTATTGGAACAGCGATTCCAGCTAAAATCTGGGGTACAAGGTAGACCTTCAAATAAAAAATTTGATGTAGAAAAATTATAAACAAGATGATCTTATCCTAGAATTAACAAAATCAGAACATGAAAAGCAAGATTACAAAAGCTTTCTGAATCCAGCATCCGGCAAAAAAAAAAAATCATAAGAACTAAGAACAAACTCAATCGTAAGATTATCAAGACTTCTGCATATCGCTTTAGTTACATTAATAACTTATTTAACTACCGTTTGGTGGCTTTTTAAATTTCCTCACTTGATAAAGATCATGTTAAAGATTAATATATTAATATTAAAAAATAAAGGTGCGTGCAGGGCAATAATATATGTATATATCTTAGTCAATATTGACAAAATATATCTCGAACCCCGACATAAGCTCATCACTTTGGCAAGGCGTTACACTTTATTATCAAAAGGGTCAGTTTAAATAAAAAAGGACCAGGAAGTTTTGTTCTGTATTATCTTTGGCCTTCTGATGATAATTTACTATCTGAAAACCGCGATCAACGTTAGATAGATTGTACAAAAATATTTACCCACAGATATATCATTTCTCCATTTACAATTGCAGGACCCATTGATCGTGCAGGATTAAAGTGTGCTTTACTGTATCCTCCCTTAAAATAAGAATGTTTCATATACATGAACGAATTCTGCAAGAAAGTATGACTATTTCTATCTACAAAAACAAAAATTTTAAGAAACAGTTTTCAAATTAGTTATACGTCCGCTCGGTGTAAAAAATATTTAAATTGATTTTATGGTACTCTTTGTATTTTTTATACTCGCTTCTGATAGAAGAACCGTAAATGTGTAGGTACATTAGGTCGAAATTTTCTGGTAAGTTTTTTCGGTATTGAATATAAACGCAAGGGGATGAAGCATATTATTCAGAAGGTACTAATTGTATATAGTAAAAATAATTTGTGTACGTTATCATAAAGGCTGATAACCTGGTTGACTTTTGACTGAATACGCGAAACTGAGTATCAATAAATGGTTTATGAAACGCTAGTCTTTTTACTGATTTAATGAGTATTTATTAAAAATAAAAACTTACAAAAGCTAAAACTAAACCACAGATTGTTAATCCCAATTTAATGGGTGCTGTCTCCTGCCATTTGCGGTTCCTGTAATCCCACATAGCACAGCAAACAAATAGAAAGAAGGTTGTTCCCAAAAGTTCAGCTATTAAACAGCGAATTATACTTGATCGTGGTGGAATCCATGGTGTGCATAAAGCTGGTCCATTGCCTCTAATCTTAGCTGGAAGCATTATCTAAGAAACAATTCATTTGTAATTTACCTGACGCTTATATTATATAACGGCAAAATATTAATACAGTAAAAATAAATGTTAAAATGAGTGTGTTAGCATGTAAAAGTCATATGTAGCTCTTCAATTCCTTAGAGGATATTCGTCAAAAGAATTTTGGGTAAATGTCTAGATGATGGCCCCCACTCCCGAAAGGGGTGGGAGTGGGTGTGATCGAAAGAGGAGGTCTCCCCCACCACTGTAGGTACCATAAAAAGTTCTTGGCGACCTCACCCCCATAAAAAGTTATGAGGGTTAGATGGAGGTGGGGGTAGGGGAATCGACATAAAAATTTTCCGGCGGTCTTACCCCCATGAAAAGTTATGGGGGTTGAAAGTTGATTACTTGGACAATTTTCATACACGATAATTCAAATAAAATTCAATAAAAAAAATATTTTCAAGCGGGTGGAGGTGGGGGATCGAAAGAGGCTGGTCATCTGAACAAAACCCGATAACCTAACCTAACCTAACCTTCCCTACTGATAAAGATACTTCAAGAATGTTTTATATAACTTTCTCAATATTTTTATGTATTTTTCATTAGTTTTACCTTTGAATATTGTTTAAGAATGACTATATAAATATTTACATGCCTAGAAATGTATAAAAATTGGCATATTTATTAACTTTGAACCCC